AAATCAGCATACTATCACCTGAAAAATATTGCAAGAATTAGATGTTTGTTTCCAGTCAAGACTTAGAGAAACTTGTGCATGCTTTCATCACCAGCAGGGTGGATTACTGTAATGGACTCCTCACTGGCCTTCCTAAAAAGACCTTAAGACAGTTGCAGCTCATACAGAACGCTGCTGCCAGGATTCTGAGCAGGACCAGAAGATATGAACATATCACACCAGTCCTCAGGTCTTTACACTGGCTCCCAGTTACATTTAGGATTGATTTTAAAGTATTATTACTAGGGGTGGGAATCTCTAGGCACCTCACGATTCGATTCGATTACGATTCAGAGGGCTGCGATTCGATGCTAAATCGATTATCAGAATCTTTTTTGTGTGTGTGTGTGACTATAAATACTTTGCTTTAAAAGTACAAAGTAATGACCCATAAAGAATTAACGTACAATATATTTTATTAACATTGCAAAGAACCAACAGGAAAATACATGTGTGTCTGAACTAGCAGCAGCATATTTGTAGTAAATTAATAATATAACAACGACCGGTAACGTTACAGCCGAGTGTTTTTCCTCCTCTGGCTGGAAACGTGTCATTTGGCTTCATGTGTCTTGTTTCCGAAATATTTTAGTTTTACTCTACAAAGCTTACAACTAGTGTGGCTCTTGTCCAGCTCCTTTCCCCCTTCAACTTCAGAAGCCAAAATATTTCCACACGTCAGCTTTTAACGAGGAGGGTGTTTGGATTTGGCGCTCAGCCATCGCGTCCGCGTCTGTTATGTGCACGCCACAGACGGTCCGGCCACTGCACTTCCGCGCTTCAGAGTTCCGTCTTTCGCGTTCCGTCAATATTACGTTATTATAAATATATATCTAAAAAAAATTTTTTTTGACAATTGTGAATCGATTCAGAATCGTCCACGTCCGCATCGCGATGCATCTAAGAATCGATTTTTTCCCCCACCCCTAATTATTACTGGTATATTAAATCATTCAATGGCCTAGGACCTCAATACATTGCAGATATGGTCACTAAATACAAACCTAACAGATCACTCAGATCATTAGGATCACATCAGCTAGAAATACCAAGGGTTCACTCTAAGCAAGGAGAGTCTGCTTTTAGCTATTATACTAGCCGCAGCTGGAACCAGCTTCCAGAGGAGATCAGATGTGTTCTCCTACAGTAGTCACATTCAAATCCAGACTCAAAACACATCTGTTTAGCTGTACATATAATGAATGAGCACTGTGCCACTGTTCGTCCGACTGTTTGTTGTGTGTTTTATTTTATTTTTTATTCTAAACTGTTTTAACTATTCTTATTTCTTTTGATTATTTTAATTTCTTCTATGTAAAGCACTTTGAATTACCATTGTGTATGAAATGTGCTATATAAATAAACTCGCCTTGCCTATTTCCAGAATAACCCTAAACCGCGTCTTTTGGGATTCAGTTTTAAACCTTAATTAAGCGGTACATTTTTTACATGGATATGTTAGGTAATATCAACATGTACTGGTGCTAATCTGTGATTTTCATGCCATCTGAATTGGAAATGTCAATATTTTTCCCATATCTTAGGAGAAAATTATAAGCTAGTTTCTTTCCATATCCAGTCTCACCACAACATAATCTCATTATTATTCATGGCCATTTAACTTTTTTATTTTTTAAAGAAATTAATACATTTATTCACCAAGGATGCATTCAATTGTACAAAAAAAAACAAAAGGGGCCATATAGACATATAAGGCCAGATTTACTAACAGCTTGCGCCAACGCAAACCCTCTTTTGGCGCTAAAAAAAAACTGACAGAATTTACTAAAGACATGCAGTGAAAAATTAGCACTGAAAAGGCGTGGACACGGTTATTTTTGCGGCTGACCTTATTTCATATGCATTTGTAGGAGTTTCCCTTTCAGACACAAAATTTATGGGAGGAGAGTATTTAAATGAATCATGCAAGGTGATTTACTAAGGTTTGCGCTAGTCAATTTACTGGTATTTGCGGCATTATTTTATTGATCAACAAACCATGTCTTAAACCAGACGCTAATTTGCACTGCTCTTGGTAGATTGCGTTGGTCATTATGGAAATGATCCGGCTGTGTCTGTGTTCTTTAATTTGTGTGTTGTCAGTAGATAACGCTCAGAACTTTTTCACTTCTATCTTCGCTATTTTGGAATTGCGCTCGCTCACTCATTTGCCCTGGTTAGTAAATCTGGCCCATAATCTTACAAAAGATTACCATTTCAAATAAATGTTCTTTTGAACACTCTATTCATCAAAGAATCCTGAAAAAAATGTCATGGTTTCCAAAAAAAAATGTTAAGCCATGGAAAATGTATAATGTGACACTGAAAACTGAAGTAACGGCTGCTGAAAATGCAATAAATTACATGAAAAAAAGGAATAAATTACATTTTAAAATATATTAAAATAGAAATCAGCTCTTTTGATCACAATAATATTTTATAATATTACTGGTGTTTTTTATCAGTTATAAAAAATCCAGTTGTGTATGTGTAGATTTAGAGAAGGATACATGTTTAAGAATACTCTGTCTTTCTTAAGATTGCATTAGTCACTTCTGCAACTGTCCCCTGCATGATAGTCATCCAAATCCATGAGTTTTATCACGACGGAGCCATACAAATTGTTCTTTTATGGATGTCACCTTGAGAAACAATTACCTTCCGAATAGGGCTTTATATGCTGTTGTTTGCTTAAACTTTCCATGATTAAATATTTTAACTTTTTATTATTTCTAATTAACATTTTATGGTTTTATTATTTAGTTTAGTAAACATAAAACAGTTTTATATATTGCACATACCTTTTCTCGTCTATACAGTAGTGGTCATTTTGGAGCGGTTTTAATAATGTCGCCAGTTGTAATGCCCTGCGTGGGGTGTTCAATAACCCGTTTGGATCTCAGCCAGGGAATGTGAGTATAGAGAACATCTGGTGTGTGAGGAGATATCATAAAGCAACTACAGTTGCTCTTTTAATCACTTTCACTTAATAAAAGAGTGATGGTCTCCTGCAGGGCTGGGCCTCACACTTCACAAATGGAATATTTGCACACACGCTCACATGTCAGATAACTCCTTAACTCACCAGCAGGTCGCCGTCATTCTCTGCTGGCCCACCAACACTTTCTGTTTTTGATTCTTTTTCTCTCACTCTGGTTCTGTTATCGATTCACAGCCCATCCCGTCTGGATGTTTTCTTTCGCAGTGGTTACTACACCTCAAGAATGAGGTGTTCTTAGGAAGTTTGCTAGTTTTTTTATAATAAATATTAGCTAATAATAATGCTTTTTTTTTAATAAAAAAAAATAATAAAAATAAAAATAAAAAAACATTGCAAAAAGTTATAAATTAAATTAAGCTTATTTATTTGCATCCCCATTAGCTACAGTATGCCCAAGAGCACCACTAGTCTTCCTGGGGTCCACACAACATTATTATTTTTTTAAAGGAAGAAAAAACAAACACAAAACATTAAAAAATACTCTCAATAACGAATCCAAAAACAACACACTTAGCATAGCCTATATTCAACATTACAGCAATCTGTGAATTGAGGTCTAAGCAGCACCAGGTCTAACACTTATAATGCATCCATCCAAGTGTGCCTTTACCTGTTTTAATTAATGGTAGAAAATTCCATGTTTTCATTGCCCTATACGTATACTACTGTACGTTTAAGGAAATTAGTTTTTGCTTTGGGGATTGAAAATCTGCCTGTCCACTGGCATATGTATATGACTTTAAGGCCCTGTTTACACCTGGTATTTAGATGTGTTTTGGTCGATTGGATCACAAGTAGACACAAGGAGACGCATCCTCGTTTACACCTGGTATTTTAATCTCTTTTGTCCACTTTCAACCACTTCTGTCCTGATTTCTTTATGGGCGGTATTTGAGATGACGCTCTGATTGGTTTATTTCACGTTACGCCCAAACCACACCTATGAGTAATGTAAATGGAAAATGGTAAATGATTTGCCCACAAAGTTACTTGCGTTTGGCGTTTGATACTTGCGTTTCAATAGGGCCCATACACTGTTACACTCCTCTGGTCGTTAGCGACCTTATACAATTTTTACAAAAAATGAATGGGAAAGCAGGCATTCATTTATATTTATAATGGATATATTATAATGAAGTAATTGAGGAATACTAAGAAGGTTTATAAAATGAATGAGGAGGAGTGTAGTGAATGACGTCCCGGGTCACTAAAGACCCGGGGTATGCATTTAAGGGTTAATGGATATGCCATTTCTTGGTCTAGATTTTTTTTTTTTTATGATTTTCCTCTGCACATTTTAGCCTGGGCTTCAAAGAGACAAATGCAGTATGTTCTCTTAGTGTGCAAGTGCTTTAATGCTGCTCATTTTCGTCTTTGCGCACACACACACACACCCTTCAACAACCACCATCCAGTGTCTGTATCGTGTGCGCTGTCCTCTCAGACCCCCATTAGCCAGCCGCACAGTGTCTCTAGAAGAGGCCATCAACACCAGTGCGTGAGTGAGAGACAGGTAGTGATGTATCCAGTTAAGGCCCTCCAGCATCTTGTGGTTTTCATTTAAACACAGCTTTCAGCTTTAACAGCTCACTCTTTCTCTTTCCTCACCATCCTGGGTCTCTCATGCCGCCCATTGCAGCATGGAAGATTAGACCAAAATACTGCTAGCATGGTTGTGATCTCAGAAAGACATTTAAAAGTTTTGTCTGAGACACTTTGTAGCAAGTAAACAAGGCATTTCCACCTGCATAGTTTGTTTCGTTGGGTCTGATTTCAGATTTTTGCACCCCTAGTCAATTGATATGTCACTCAGAAGGCCACGTCCTGACTAAATGGGTTGTTTTTGACCGGGATAAGCTGCAACTGGAGTTTATGCCTATAATTTAAAGTCAGAATATGTGTGACTACATCATGATTTCTAATGTCAGATTGCGTGTGTGTGTGTGTGTTTTCTCCACAGCAACAAGAGCAGGACCCCACTAACTTGTACATCTCGAACCTCCCGGTTTCAATGGATGAACAAGAGCTGGAGAACATGCTGAAGCCTTTCGGACATGTCATCTCCACACGGATACTCCGAGACGCCAACGGGGTCAGTCGAGGGGTCGGTTTCGCCAGGTAACCTTGACAACCAACCCTTTGGCTCATGCAAGACTAGACAGCGTTTGTTCAAGAGGGCACACATAAAAACATCCCTTAGTTTCTTTCTTTTCCTGCTCCGCCTCCCACCCCCCTCCCCCTTTTGTGTGGCGCGTGTGGGGTGGGTTGGCTGGTTTTCAGGGTCACTGGCTGTGTAAGAGATCCCAGCAGAGGCTGTGTGTGTGTGTGTGTGTGTGTGTACACTATTGTGCCAGCCAGGCAATTAGCCGTTCAGCCATGATTGGGTGAGCAGAGCTGAATGGGGCCGCACAGAGGAGAGGAGCCACTCCAGAGAGCACAGACTAAATCAAGACTCCCAGCAGCCCGAAACAAACACTATATAACACCCCTGCCATTCTTTATTTTCCCTCTCTCACTCTTTCTAACCCTCTGCTTTCGTTCTCGAAATTAACATATAAGGAGGTTTCTTCAATTACAGGAGTTTTAATGTCTCTGAGGTTAGTACTAATAGATTTCAACTTTTATTTATATATATATATATATATATATATATATATATATATATATATATATATATATATATATATAAATCACATTAAAACTTTGAACTTTGTATCATGCCTTTATCACTTATTTTGGATTATAATATTTATCAATTTATAAAAATTGTATTGGTTTACCCTTGACTTAGACACAGATCCTCAATCTTAAACAAAACAAAATTCAGTATAGAAATATTAATGATTTAAAATAAAATATATTTTATATTCTTTAAATATGTCCTAAACATAGTGAATTAAACATGACATATTGATTGATTCATTTATATAATCATTGATTGATTGATTGATATTCCATCATATTTTTGGTCCCAATTAAATTTTGTCAAAAGTTATTGTACTTGTTTATCAATGAGACAACAATTTACATGATTTACATGAAATATGAGAAAACATTGCAGAATATTTTTTACTTTGCATCATTTCTTATCAAGCTGTAGCTATGCACTTGTCAAATTATAAAAAAAATATTAAAAGTGTGAAGCTATTATTAAACTGTATTTGTTATACATAAAAAGCTAGCCATGAGGTAAAGGAGTCACACTACATAATGTTGTCTAACAAAATCAAAATACATAATTTAAAATATGGTGGAAATTACATTTGTTGATTCAGAAACATGACGGCTGATTCGTAGAAAAATATTTCCTTTGATGCATCTACTATATGTCCACTGTTAGTCATTGTTATAGACATATTAAACTGTTGAGAGTATGAAAAGTGTGTTTTAATAGAGAATGTTCTATATGTCCACAGGACCAAAAATGTCCATAGTTAAAGAAACAGTCATAAAGCAGAGTTTTAAAAAGCTAAATCTGTTCAGTTGTCAATGTTTTCACTGCAGTTATGACCGATGACTTTAATTCTGATTGCCTCATGCTGTGTGTTTCTTTTTATTTCTCTTTCTGTCTCAGAATGGAGTCCACTGAGAAATGTGATGTGGTGATTCAACATTTCAACGGAAAGTTCCTCAAAACCCCACCAGGAGTACCAGGCAAGTGTCAACAATACAGTGTGTTCTAACAATATTACATCCTAACCAGGTGCAAAGCAACACAGTGACAATCATCAGGACATTTTGTTGCCCACTTGGTGTCTGTTTTCACAGCTCCATCCACAGTAAAATCTCATTGCTCTGAGGTCCCTCTCCATATAGCTGTATATTAAAGGAATAGTTCAGCCAAAAATGACAGTTCTGTCATCATCTACTTGCTCTCCTGTTGTTTCAAACCCACGTTTTTCTGAGTAAATGACAGAAATCTATTTTTTTTTTATAAATTGTGCCTTTAATATTAAATATGTTCTGATTTTCTGATTTTGACAGCATAATTACACCTGTATAGCTCTCTGCCGAGCTTTATATATTAGAATACTAAACCTCCAAGTACAACGCGAACCAAACCTCTAGTGTGAGGAAGTACACGTCCCCCACTTTGAGTCGCTCTGCTCATCAGCTTCATATGACAGGATCTGATTTATAGGTTGATTAAGGTTTAATTTAAGCCTGGTGTGCCAGAAGAAAACAGTTCCCACAGGGCAGCAGAATGTGCTGCATAAACTAGCGACAAACGTTTATAATGAAGATAGCATTTAGAACACATTTAACTTACATTACTTGACGTATTTCAGAGTGATACAGAATATTAGTGAGATATGATGTAGGGCGGGACTTGATTTTATCTATTCGCATTTAATTGAATTGTGAAAATTGAGCTATGATATTACTGGTTAATTTGCAGACTTATTCAAAAATCATTTCAAAGGCCAAATGTGTCATTAGATTTTGCAGATATATTTTTCTTTAATAGAATATTCTGGGTTCTGAACAAGTTTAATTGACAGCGTTTGTGGCATAATGTTGATTACAACGAAAATGTCCACCTGTCCTTCCTTTTATTTAAAAAAAAGCTAAAATTGGTGAACGGGGAATTGGTGAAATTGGTGTAGCCACAAGACGTAAATCTCTTTATATCATTTTTAAGGTGGAAAGTTTGATTACTAACTAATTTATTCAAATTTCATTACATTGTTGCCATGACAACGTAATAAGTCTCAGATAAGACAAGTTTTATCCAAAAATGGTCTCCATTCACTTTTCATTATAAGTCCATTTTTGCTTATTTTAAAGAAAATGAGGGGAAATAATCTAAAAGTACTTTCCATAGTAATCAACATTGTGCCACAAATGCTGTCGATTAAGCTTATTTTGTATTCAACTCAGTTTATTCAATTCTGATTTCATGTCGCCTTTAAAAGCGACAAATGCTTTATATCACAGACGCCCACAAAAATAATGTGTAAACAGTGTTGTTTAATGGGGTAGTTTTGCAAAGCTCAGGGTATTTTCCTCAGTAATGTGCTTGGTGTTTGTTCCCCTGTTGTTGCGGAGCTTTCTTGTTTCCTTTAGAGGAAGGGAAAGACGGGAGCTGGAGAGGTTAAGGTGGATGAGAGAGAGAATATGTGATTTCTGTTGGATGCATATGTTCGTGTGTGTGTGTCTGTTTTCTGTTTGAAGGAGACATAGGCAGAGGGCTTGGAGGGGGGTGTAAAAGCAACTGACAAGACAGAGAGAGAGAATAGGAAGAGAGAGATTGGAGAGGGCAGCCTGCAACTCTGGCAGTTGCTGTGTGATTTGTGGGGTGTAGCGTGAGGCTCGGTGTCAGACCCAAAGACAGAGGGATGATGGATGACTTCATCTATACCTCTCTCTCTCTTAAAGGCTCTCTCTCTGTCTTTTCTCAGTACTAACAGACTCCTGGCAAACTCGGTCTTGTCTTTACCTTTACACTGTGTCTTAACCTGGTGAACGTGATAAAGCGACAAGCGATAAAAATATCTTCCTTGTAAATCTGAGTTGTTCCTTTCCAGCTGCGACCGTGACAAGCAGTCGCTTGGTTTCTATTTCTGCAGTGTCACATGATCCTTCAGAAATCATTCTAATATGCTGATTTGATGCTCAAGAAACATTTCTCATAAATATCAATGTTGAAAACATTAAGACTACTGGATCATTTGAGGGTGTTGAGGGTGAAGTTAATTACAAAAAAAAAAACTAATTTGCAAATCATATATTGCTACATCTCTCATGAACATGCCAAGGAGAGTAAAGACCTAAATTGAATCATTTTCCTGACATAATACAAACTTGGGGCTTAGAAGACTGCAAATATAGCGGATAAGTCATGTGGACCCATTTTACTATACTGTACTTTTTTTTGTCCTTTTGGTCCCCATCCACTTTCACTGTTTGAAAGAGAGAGAGAAAAACGCATCTTCATACCTTCTCCTTTTGTGTTTCTTTGAAGAAAGAAAGTCATATCAGTTTGGAACAATATGGGGATGAGTAAATGATGACAGAAATTTCATTTTAGGGTGACCTATCCCTTTAAAAAGCCATTTTGAAAAAACCCCGAAAAAGCTTCTTTTGAGAAATAGAAGGCAGAGAGTGAGAATGAGGTGATATTGTGCACTTTAAAGTCAGGAATATTGCTACAATCTTTGCCAGCCTTCTGATAATGCATTCAGCCTTGAAAAGGAGCCATGCATGTATTGATATCCAGGTTGAAAGCTCAAAAATAGCATCTCATCGATTTTCTCTCCCTCCCGTCCTTCTTTTTCCATCTTTCTATCTCTGTCTCTCCCTCTCTCTCTCTCTCTCTCTACTAAGTGGATGATACGAGCCTGTGGAATAACTGTGTTTTGCCCAAGTGGTTCCTCTTGAATCTTGCTGTGCACTGAAGATTCTCTCGAACAGGTGTAGCAGTATTAAAATATCAGACTTAAGAGATCCAATCTGCTGTATGCTTTTACAGAAAAGCGTTTGGCACACGAATCACACCTATGCTTCTTACACAGATTGATTGTTGAAATTTATGTTTTATTTGAGAGAGAAAGGAAAAGAAAAGGAGCTCTTCGTCTCTTAAAGGGATAGTTCGCCCGTATGACTTTCATGAAGCACTTGCTGTCACTTGTGTAGTCTTTCTGCTTGTCTCTCTTGTCTCCATCTGCTGTAGGTGTGTGTTTTCTCGCGTGTTGTCCTGATCCTGCTTACTCAGGCTTTTCTAACAGGCCACAACGGGGCCATCAGGCCTGCATGCTCTCATAATTACACGGGCTCTTAGGCAACATGCTGATGCTGGGGTAGATAATGATGACGAGCGTGTAACGCTGTGACCCCTCCATCACGCACAAGCTCCCTGTCATGGGACGTCCAGCACTTCTTTCCGTTTTGCTGATCTTCCACATTCCCAGCTCAAGCCTGTGAGCTCTGTCAGATCTTGGAGTGTGTTTCAGGCAATTTGGCCGGCACCTGATCTCAACCTTAACCCCCCCCCCCCTCTCCCTTCATCTCTTCGTCTCTCCCTATTCATGAGCAGAGTGGCCTGAGGGAAGTCTTAATGGTGTGGGTATGGGAATCACACTGTGGATTTGCTGTCATAATACCACACACACGCATATGCATTAATTCTGGAACGTTTTAGTTGATGGTAATTGAAGGTAAAAAGAGAAAGGTTGCGACAGAGGCACAATTTCTCATTTACTATGACAGAAGAATAGCACTAATCTACCTGAAACAGATAAAGTGGGAATGGGTATATGTGGCAAGGGGTCAAGGTTTGGCTGGTTAGTTTGGCCCTGTGAGCCCCTGCTGGTTGATGACGTAACTACACCATCTTGCAACAAAAAGCATTTTTCTACATTGTAATGGTCATTCAAAAAGTAGCTGTGTATTGTGACAACATAAATATAAATATAGAAATAACTTGTAGATAAATATAAATATATAATATTTCAGTGCAATGTTTTTAGTAAAATGTTTTACGGGTGCTATATATAAAAAACGTCAAATGGACATGTTTTTCCCCCCCTGTCTGCTGCCTTTGACATCATAGTTCAGGATAGTTTCTTTCTAGTGAAGGACTTGGACTTGTGCATGCTTTTGTGTTTGCATCATTTTATTTTCACATATTATTCGATTTATTTACTCTATTTTATTTGAATATAATATTTATATTCAAATAAATAAATAAACACATTTTATGTTTAATGATTTTTATTTTGTTATATTTGTTTTCATTTCTTCATTTAGCAGATGATTTTATCCAAAGCGACTTAAAATGAGGAATACAAGCAATTCATCTTAATTCATATCTTAATTTTTAATATATATATATATATATATATATATATATATATATTAATGTTAGTTTTTAATTATTTTATTTATAGCTTTTATAATCATTTATTTGTAACTTATTTTTTATTTTGTTAATACATAAAATAAAAAAGTACTTTGAAATTGAAAATTCTGAGATAGACAGACAGACAGGCAGGGTCTTGTGTATGTGTTTTCCCACAGGCTGATCAGTAAAGTGACTTGTTAAATTGCTGTGTATGTGTGTTAGCTGTGACTGAGGGAAAATGTAGGCTTGTACTGAAGTGCTTACAAGCCCACTGACAGTAAGACCGTGAGAGAGAGAGTACTTACACCCCACTGTCTGTGCTGATGGAAGGGAAGGCTAAATTATAGGGTAAGAGGCCAGGCTTGTGTGTATGTGTGTGTGTGTGTGTGTGTGTGCGCAGCATCGGGGTGACCTATCAAATTTGGTTCCACTTGACTCGCTAATGTCTGCGATACCGGGAAATCAAGCTGCACGGACCGATACACTCTCTGAGGAGTTTGTTTGAATGGGGCATGTGTCAGTAGTGAGGCCAGATATCATTAAGTGAAAGACCTAGTTGACAAGGGTGGAGCCTTGTTCTAAAAAATAAATAAATTCAAATATTTTAAAATGTACTTATTGTAAATAAAAAAATAATATTTATTTTTTTAAATAAACAAGTTTATTTATTTATTTTATTAATTTATTTTAATGGCCGTCAAAGATGCAGCCAGATGGTGTAGTTACGACATCCACCAGCAGGGGCTAACCGGACCATGTTACCTAGCCAAACCACAAGTCAACCATATTCCTTAATCTATCACAAAGCGGC